TTGTTAAGGTAACTGCATCAACCACAAAATTATTTAAATCTTATACCGGAGCCATCCGATGGCATCAAGAGTTGATTATGGTCTTGGTAAGTTAATGTCTAATTGATAATTTATATAAAATTTCAAGCCTAAAGAAAGACATATAAAAGGCAGATTTAGCTCTAGCATAATGCCTGTTTAATAAGAAATATGAAAAAATAATGACAAAATGATTGAAGTATGTCATGAATAATCTGCTTCTTAAAGGGTGTATTCTATAGAATCTTAAAATAGACAAAATGGGTCTAAAAGCACATATAAATGTAACATAAATGTATATAAAGTGATTTATATTCAGTTTTTAAATAAATCATTGTACTTTGTAATCAATTATGTTTGTGGAAATACTTGAACAATCCTAATTGAACGGCAGCTGTTAACGTCTGCTTAGCCCATTCTACAAGTTTTTCTTTTATTATTATTTTGTCGTTTGTGATCAGTCATCACTAATTACTCCTGCATTGTCTTCTGGGATACATTTTTTCTTTGTTCATTACAAATTTAAGGCCAAAATCTTACAGTACACGACTTGTGTACTGATTTCAAAACTTCATTGTGTCTTAAATATTGGATATTAGGATCACATATTTTCATGGCAAGATAACAACATCAATATTAGGCAACACAAATAAAATAAGTTGTTTCACGGGCACCGCCCGCACGCAAAATTGGTTGCGCGTGCGGCCTATTTATTAGTCTTGATGAAAAATAAAAAATATGTAACGCCCGCCCGAACATCGATAAGCAAGTCATAAAAAAAATATGCCGCATGTATCTACATGCCCCATTCGTGAATATCCATTCAAATGTATTAAACTGATTCAGATGTAAACGCTCATTTACGGGTCTTTTTTTATTGATATCGAAAGAACCTCCATTTGTGTATCACGTGATTTTAATTACCTCCCCTTGTGAACTAGAATTTGATTCGTGTTAAACACCGAAAGTCATTGACAACAATGCAATGTATTTCAATCATTCGATCTTAATCGGCTCATTATTGCCGGCTTCAGTCGGTCCATGTTTGAAAAAATCCTACTTATAAAACAATGAATCGTAGAACAGGTTAATTATTATAACTTGTGGCTACGAATACGATACGATGATAGTCACCATACCTTAGTCAGAATCTGGGTCATTAGCACGTTTAACGGTAGTTTTGATAATCCGGAAAATAATAATTGGATTACACATTTGATGGTTTTACTGACGAGTTGTTAGTTAAATTTAAATAGTCATTCGATATAAACCCCAGATAGAACACCGAATATGCTGAGAAACACACCAAATATCCTGAGAAACAGTCATTTCACGAATCCCGATGACACGTGACATGCATTGGTTGGAATTAGGTCAATCATTATAAACCAGCGATACTAGATTTAGATCGAAGTGTCGTTTACCGTGATGATTATTTTTGATACACATGCTGACAGAGGCTTACTCTTTAAAATATTGTCGTTATTATGGACGGCTATTAATAGTCGTTTGTACGGAATTTTATTTTAAACCAATTTCAATTATGGTTGTCACCATTACCATTAGTAAGCTACATTACGTGAATTAAATATGGAAAATTATTTTCCTTTCAGTCAGTGTTCAGAGTTTGAGTAGACTTGATTTTTGGATTTATGTTCTAAGTATGTATAATATATAACTAAAAGCAAAACCGTAGACAAGTAATGACTTTCTCATTAAAAAAAAATAAAAAAATACAAGGCCGCCCTCCCGCCCCAACAATTTTCAACAATAGGCAAATTTTATTTTGCACCATCCTCTAGCCAGAAATGAGATAAAAAAAAAAATAAACCGCCCTCCCCCCCTACAGTTTCAGCTGTCAGTTGCCCGAGAAACAAGACATTTATTTTGTGTAGCCTTAATGGAAATTGATCAATATTGAATTCTAATTTGTGTTTTTAATATCGAATATTATGGAAGATATTGAGTTAGAGGTTTAGCTCCTTTAAAGATGCTAAATCTGCCTATTGTAGGTCTTTCTTTTGGCATCAAATGATATATAAATTATTATTTAGATATTTATTCACATGACAAATTAACTAACAAGATTATCTGATGGCAGAGATTTAAATGGATTTGAACACACACAAGGTATTAAAATTTAACGAGAAAATTGATAAACAAACTTGGTCTCGATGGTCAAGTACAGTTGCTACGATAATAAACGATCTGTGCTACATCTTCAAACTGTCATAATTTTGCCCAGAATAAAGTATTTTGAATGAAATTTTTTAATATATGCATTCTTCATTATATATTTTTGAACTATTATAGCAAGAACGACCAGGTCTTAGTCTTTATCTAATCTTACATAAAGCATATTTAGGGATATCCCATGACAACCGGCAAAATTCCATAACTTGTTGACAATGACGTTTCCTTAGAGTTTTATTATTTTATATGTATACAACATAAGTTTATTATGTACAACACCTACAATTTAATTTCTTATCATATACTTCAGAATTCTAAAAGAAGTTATCAAAGCGTGTGTAGAATTTTTAGTGCAAAGTTGTCCTTGTTTGAAGAAAATCAGATAAACTTGAAAGAAAAACAGCTTCAGACTTTGAAATATTTGTATGATAAAACATTCTTAAAAGGCGACGTCATGGGCAACGCCGTTGGTAATCTGAGAACTTGAAAGTAGTTCCAATGGCGAACTTCGTCATACAGCCGAGGCTAGATGTAGGGTACTGGAATCTGCTGAGGTTTGCGGAGTGTTCAAGGTATCTACTAAAATTGCTGGGCATCCATCGAGTGGCTTTGTTGACAATGTTGAAAGAGAGAGAGAGAAATGGGGTTTAATGTCAACTCGACACAAACTATGTCATTTCGGGACTATCACATGTTTCAATTTTCTTTCCATAACTTGCTTGTGCGTAGGGGTCTTTAGCAGTGGGAGGAAACTGGAGGACCCAGAGAAAACCCACGAGGTTGGACAGGCGACCCTACTCCTTGTCACGTACAACCGGGGAATCGAAACCACACCAGTTGACTCAGTGACAGACCTTATGATATATAGCGCGCACATGCTAACTATTCGGCCATCCAACCCCCCCCCCCCCGACAAAAGGAATAAATATGTTCTTGTATCACACTTAAAAAACCCTGTGGTTTCAAAAGAGCTTCAAGTTGTGGTCATGAGTGGCTAATTCATGTGGAAGCGAACTGTCCGAACACGAACGGTGATTAGATAGATCTATTTCTATGTCAGAAAATGATATAATAATAAAAGGATGATAGTAGTAATAATAAGAGCATATCAAGACTTTATCCATACGGTCAACTACTTGTACCAAGTTTTAATGTTACTCCATTTTCAGCTAACTGCTCATCAACTTGTAAACTAATAAACAAGATCTGTGTTCTATGGCTGTTCTACGTATGCACGTACAGTAAGTAGAATGGTAACTTTGGTGAAATACCTCTCGTCAAATCAAAACAAGTCTTGAATGGAATTACACAGGACCCAATAGTACAGTGGCTTATGCATAACACAAATCATTTTAGACCTGATTTGCAAACAGATTGTCTGAAAGTTTCAGCTTAAAACACTGAGCTATTCATAATCACTAGCCAGGTATCATAATTCATGTAAGGTAATCTATTGTTCAACTGTATGAGTGACATGGTACTTGAAACAATCACTTATGATATCACTAACTTATGCAGACATGGCTAACCAAGCATTTAGGAATAGAGTGGAATTTTATCATCAATCATGAAAATACATCTACAAATACAGATAATTTGTAGGTGCAAGAAGCTAACTATTCTGCTATTATTAATAACTCGCCAAAATAAATCACAAATATTTGGTTGACCGCATTTGGATTTCAACTCGAACAGAACATTCAGTTTGGGTGACAAATCTATCTGTTTATTGTGTACTGAATGATATTTTGAAAACTTAATTGAAAGTTGTATTGTGTATTGAATTCATATTTTGGAAACTTGAAAATTGTTCTGGTTTTATAATTATGCAAGTGGCTGTGATATCACTTTCTACCTACTAGAAATGACAGATGAGGTATGCACTAATATCTATAGCAAAAGATTTGATTAGAATGATTGTAAAATAATTAAAGCAGGGTGTTATAGTTGCAAAGCTAGGTATTTTACAGAAGCAAGCAGGGTTAAATCATTAACACAATACTGTAAAGCAAGAAATTATTGCATTCATTTAAACTCTATTCAATATCCAAATGTTTTAACGAAAGTGGTTCTAAAATTAAACGTAGACATAAATATTTCTAGATGCCTTTTGTCTTCATATCATTTAAATTGTTGCAAAAAACTTTCACATTACAGTAAAGTCATTCAAGTAAATACGTTTCATTAAGTTGGTAATATATTTTAGTAAATTTAATTAACCAATTGAACTTTACCACCATCCAAATAGTACATTGGTTAGCATAAGATAAAACGCTCTTCATGAATCTTAAAAAATATTAACCAACTTAATGCAACAGGCAAGTTTCAACATAAATAAACATCAAATAAAAATAACACAAACAAAAATAAAACAAAAATGCATGCATGAATAAATCAATGGAATGGAATATCATCTTCATTTGTTTAATTATGCATTCCTATGACACACATCCATTTTTAAATTAAAAATAGATTGCATAGGCTACTTTTCCAATTTGTGATTTTCGAATTTGAAGACAAGTTAAAATATTTGATAATATAATATTCAAATCAAGGTAGGTATTGCATATATACCTATTAAATATAAGAAGTATTTTAGTTCCATCAATCTGATTTAATCAAACTACTACAGTGAAATAAAATTTGGATATTTAAAGTAGTCTTAGTCATAATGTATTATAACTGTAAACATATGCAAAATATACTAATGTCGAGTAAGAGTTTAAATCAATTCAATGTATACCAGTGTTCGTGAAAAAAGAGCTTGGTCTTAAAATTAAAGAGCCTACCTTCGCACTTTCTTAACTAATTCTTCAAATGGTTTCTCCCAACAGTACATTTTAATAACCCTCATACCTGAGATTATCTCATTCATAATCCGAACTCTTTTATCAGTTTGAGCTGCAGTTTTTAACCTGAAAATGAAAATCTTGACATTATACCATACACTTGTGGAATTTCCCACGTTCATATACAATAAAAAGTTGACAGAGCCTTACATAACAAGAGCCCATTTATTTCAAAGAGCAAATCCAAGGAGTTCAAGAAATGATAAATAAATATCTTTTGTTTGCAATCTCCATTAACAAAACAATAATGTTATTCTTTTCTATTAATTAATGGATATCCTTAATTGTGACTAATCCCTATTGGATTTTTTAGTAATAATAAATACTGATGACAGGGGTAGGCTATAGTTAAGCCACAACTGTTGCTCCTAAGGTTTTATGCAAATATATTTTTAGTTGGTCCTGATTTCTGTCTAATCATAAAAAAGTTTGACATTTATCAAAATTAGACGCACATCCTGATGTTTCTCATGAAAGAAGTCCTTTAAGACATTGGCCCAATGGAAAAATGGACTAATAATACCTGAGTCGAGAAAATAACTTTCCCATCCATCCTTGTGCTGGTACTAGTAATAGAAGAACAGTAAAACCTGCTAATACAGATGGTCCCATTATATACCATAATATTGTTAAAACTGCAATCGCTTGAAGAGGTCCAACCCACAAAAAATGAAGAAATATCGCAGCCTATAAAACATAAGAATAGATTTAAATATATTTCATTTGAATTAAAATACTAATACAATTCTACATGGATTTCAATAATTTAATAGAATAAATGTTCTGTTTCACAGGTTTAAGTGGTAGTCGGCTTGTTTATTAATTCTAATTTTTTTTTTTTTTACTCCACTGTGTCGATACAGATCACAATCTTCTCTGATAATTATTTGGTCTTATTACTCTTAATCTCCTGTGAATCCTAACAGAGACTTGGTGCTAAAAACAGCTTGACAAACCTATATAGCTAAATGTTTCTTACCTGATCAAATCTATTAACATCATTAGATAAAAGATTAACAATATGACCTGTTGTAGTTTTACCTAAAGCTTCGTTACTTAAACGTAAGGACTGGAAAACAGAACAAAAAATATAATGACTGTAAAACAAATTTAAAACATTAAACCATCAGATAGTCAGTCTAGTGAGTAGATTATGGGTTTAATATGTAAATATACTCTTCAAAAAAAGTAGGGGATATTGAAATGCAAATACCTATGCAGGTTGTGGTATGATAAATAGTCATGGACACTCGACATGTTTTGAGAGTATGTTCACAGATGATGAAGAACCTATCGCCCCAACAGAATCACTGAGCTGCATGTGCGACACGCAATAGCGCCATACATGTGGGAGGGTTTCATTGTCAAATTTGACACTTCAAGGAAGGGTTGATGAAAACTGCCGCTTGCTGGTTAATCCTATCCATGTTTGCTTTCCTATCGCTTCTTGCATAAGATTTACTGTTTAGCGTATCTTTGCTTTAGTGTGTTACGTTTAATTTAATCGGGAGACGTGTTTGTCGATGTCAACATCAACCGACAACCCTGCAAAAATTGGCTGTGGCACTGCAAGAGGAGTGGGTCAGATTGTCCCAAATCATGATTGGACGGTTGATTAGGAGCATGCCACGACGAATTGCTGAATGTCTGAGGATTGGTGGAGCAATTACTCATTATTAAAACAAAAATCAAAAACGTCCATTTTCACTTTTGTCAGTGTATCCCTTTGCGAGTGAAATGGGGCCGTCAGATAAGCCCCCCATATGAACTGTTTATGTTCATGTGTAGGCAATTGGTCTGTTATCAACATACACTGGACAGCAGTGCATTTCTGCAGTTTTGTATTGTTTCTGAATATCCCCTACTTTTTTTGAAGAGTATAAATGTCTAATTAATGGTCTATATAACATTTGAGGCCAAATGAAAGATATGCATTAGGCAGATTTAGCTCATATAAAAATGCATCTTTAATTGTGCAAAATGCATTCAAAATTTTCTATCCTAAATTTCAATAGAACTTTTCCATAGGTCAGACAAAATGAATGTCTTGTTTCTCAGACAGCAGAAAATGTAGGAGGGGAGAGCAACTTCTCTTATTTTTTTTACCTGAGGGTCGTGCAAAATAAAATTTGGCTATTGCTGAAAATGGGGGGGGGGGGCCTGGAGACAGATTAATATATCTTTACAGCTTGTTTCCCAATCCAAAAAATCTAAACAATATTTATTCACAGAAACTGGATTGGAGAACAGACAGAAGCTTATAGACCCCCTCTCCATAAAGTATGTATATAGTATGAAAGTATGTATATATAGTATGTAATTATGTAAAATAAACACTGTTTAAATCAACTATAGTGAAAGTTTAAAATGTAGTGTGCATACCTTTTTATATATAAGTGAACAGCAAGCTATTCTAGCTTGCATGCCTATTTTGCAAACAGTGAAAAAATATGGATGATGAGAAACGGCTAATACTATCGCACACAAACTAACACCCATGGCATACAGATAGGCCTCCATGTCAGACATTTTTGAATCAGGTGTAAAATAACGTATTAATCCACCAAGTAAAAGCGGCTGAACTACTTTTGTTCCTTCCTGAAATTAAAAAATGTACCATTTACAATACAACCATATACATTTATATATTCCCACTAATATGTACGCGATCATCCGATGACCGTCTGAACTATATTTACTATTTGTTTTGGTCTCTACAGACAGATACATGTATGGGCGGATGTCTCCCATTCAGTGCACACCTCGCCTAAAGCTTGTCGAAACAGACATTTCTCTTAAATCAAAGACAGCATCAAACTGTCTTGAAGACTAATAAAAGAATATTTCTACTAAAACAACAAAAATAAATGAAAACGTGTTGAAAATCAGTTTAAAAATAACCAAGATATGGGCCCTATCTGTAGAACACTTCTGGTTTGTCATAAGTGAAGCGACCAAATTATCTTCCAAATCTTAGTGATGTGTTGTATTCTAGTAAACAGGGATGTAGGTTAGACAGAATGCTGTTTGAAATAATTCCTTGACCAATTTTATATCTTATCTGTATTTGAACAATACTACGCACAGTAGAACAGTTATCAATGTTATACTTTTTAGAAAGAAATATAAATAAAGGTCAGGCCTTCTTATTAACGATATTACACTTTTAAAATTGGAATTATAATTATTTATTATTGATATGAAATTGAGAGAGAGAGAGAAATGGGGTTTAACGTCCACTTGACACAAACTATGTCATTTCGGGACTAACATATGGTTTAATTTTGTTTACATAATTGGCTTGCGTGTAGGGGTCTTTAGCAGTGGGAGGAAACCGGAGGGCCCGGAGAAAACCCACAAGGTTGGACAGGCGACCCTACTCCTTGCCACGTACAACCGGGGATTCAAAACCACGCCAGTCGACTCAATGACAGACTTTATGATACAGCTCGCGCACACTAACCATTCAGCCATCCAACCCCCCGATATGAAATTGAAGCCATCCATTAAAATATCTATGATAATTTCAAATATCTCTAGTTGGATGGATAGAGAACAAGCTATTAAAAAAAAGCAATTCTTCGTACAATCAGGGGCCATTATCCAGGAAGTTAGGGTCTGAAATGCACAAATATCAAAAGGGACTGAGATATTTGGGATATAAAGATGTATTTTAAGTTTCAACAAAATCGGATAAAAATTGTGACTTCTAGAAGGTCCAAAACCTTGGTATTACATACTTTTACACTATTTACATACAGTAGAATCTGCATTAAGCAGCCACCCAAGGGAAATTCCACGACTGACCGCTTAACGGGAGTGGCCTCTTAATAAAATCTTGGTGCTTTTTGTGCTGACATAAATTAAATATTACGCTTGGATGCATTGGAAGCGAACATCAATACTTGCATCGGTAAATTTGACCGTCGCTGAATCTTGCACCAAACGAAAATTCTTTACTCAAGTCTCAGACATAACTTCTGTAAACTTGTCATTTTGTACCAACCTTCGATACTACTGCCTACCATTGTGATGCATTTGATAATATTTATCCATTTTTGTGAAGAAAATCGATGAATTAATTTTATTTTATCAAAAAAGCACATGAACAAAAAAAACATCGCTGATTTTATCACCTATTTACAGGGGGTGTAACTCTGTATGTAATATTATAGGAGGCACTAAAACGTCTGTTTAACAACAAAGTGGCAATGGAAAAGAGATACTAGGTGATCGCGACAAAACTCAGTATTTTTATTTAATTCAATCAGTATCAAATAATATGTCGTTACGCGTGAAAACAATGATCAGGGTAGTCGTTTAATAAAACAAAAGATTAATTAACAGATAATCCCAGGTTGATTGTTATTTTTACATTTCCTTTTACCTGATCAGTGCGGGTCCAGTTAATTAACTACTACTCACGGGATTAGCGGGGGTGTTACAAAGAACGACAAGATGGTATCATTCAACAATGGCCGTTGAATGGGCGATGTTTTGTTGAATTTATTAGTAAAATAGGGACCGCTGGCCGCTTTAGAGGAGTGACCGCTGAATAAAGAGATGAAACAATAGAATTTTTACGAGGGGTATTTATCATAACCGCTTACAAGGAGACGTCGCTGAATAGGAGTGGCTGCTCATACATATTCTACTGTACAAGGAGCAGCCGTTTGGTCAGGCAGTTTCGTTTCAATTTTCACAAAATTCAAACTCAACCGCCATTAGGGTGTAATGGTCATATATTTAAATGTTTTCTAAAATCAGATAAAAATTGTGATCTCTAGAGTATGATTTTTCGTACAATCAGGGGCCATAATCAAGGAAGTTATGGTCCGATATGCGCAAATATCAAAGGGAACCAAGATCTTTGTGATATAAACATAAATTTAAAGTTTCATCAAAATCGGATCAAAATTGTGGCCTCTAAAGTGTCCACAACCTTGGTATTACATACTTTTACACTATTTGTGTACAAGGAGCGGCTATTTTGTCCAACAGTTTGGGTCAGATTTTTACAAAATGTGAACTCAACCTTCATTGATATGTAATGATGATATATTGAAACGTTTTTTTACAAATGAATACAAATTATGACTTCTAGTGGGTCCACAAGCTAAAATCCAGGAAGTTACGTTCAGATATGAACCAAGATCTTTGTGATATTAACATAAATTTCAAGTTTCATCAAAATAGGATCAAAATTGTGGCCTATAGCTATAGAGGGTCCACAATCTTGATATACAATATATTTACACTATTTGCGAACGAGGGGGTGGCCATTTTGTCCGGCAGTTTTGGTCTGATTTTCATGAAATTCAAACTCAACCTTCATTGATATGTAACGGTAATATATTGAAACTTTTTTTCAAATCAGATAATAATTGTGACATCTAGAGGCACCACAAGCTAGAAATGCGATTTTTCGTACAATCAGGGGCCATAATTCAGGAAGTTACAATCCGATTTGCGCAAATATCAAAGATGAACCAAGATCTTTGGGCTATAAATATACATTTCAAGTTTAATTAAAATAAGACGAAAATTGTGAACTCTTGAGTGTCCGCAAGCTAAAAACATGATTTTTTGAACAATCAGGGGCCATACTCCATGAAGTTATGGTTTGATACATGCCAATATCGACAGGATCCCAGGTTTGGGGGAGATAGACCTATATTTGAAGTTTCGCCAAAATTGGATAAAAATTGTGACCTGTAGAGTGTCCAATAACAAATTGTGGACGGATGCCCGGATGGACAGGGGCGACGGTATAATAAGTCCACATGAAAATGTGGCCGTATAAAAAAATCTTGTGTGAATTCAGCCAAGTGTTGTACAAACAAGTCAACAGTGAGGCTGATGTCCCCCGCCGAAATCTCCCCCAAAAATAGATGACACATCTCAATTAATGGCACATTTATCTTTTTCAAAAGTATCAAGCAATCAAACTGATTATCAACTATACACTAGTTTCATCACTCTCCATTAGTAGAAGAATCCAAGTTATCTTGTCCCAAAGAATCGACTAATTCTGAACATTCTACCTCAATTAGAAGGAGATTTATTCTATTCCAAAGTCTCAACCAATCAAATTGCTTATCACTCTGCTTACCCTGAGCAGAAAATGCTCATTATCAAAATGCTCATTATCAAACTTAGTCAAGGTATCGATGTAATGAAACTATACACCAAGTTTCATCGTCTTCAAACTCCATCATGGCATTAAACACCTACACCAAGTTCGATCATTCTACCACAATTAGAAGGGGAGTTATTGTGTCCCAAAAAGTGTGACACAGACAGACCCATTTTAACAGTCCCCTGCTTTCTTCGAAAAGCGGGGGACTAAAAAAGAAACAGGAAAGTCTGAGAAGATCATCACATCAATAAAAGTGGACATTGTAGGGTTGCATTCTTTTGAAGACTAGTCAGTCTGACATAACTTCTGAGTTACATGTATAAACTGGAAAAAAGAGAACTCACCTCCACAAACACAATAAAACCTAAAACGGAATATCTCCATCCAAAACATTTAATCAATGCTATCAATAGACTTGGTTTCTTCTTTGTACCTTTTACTTTCGCTAGTTCTTTAAACCATTCCCTATAGAATACGTGCATGTATAAAATTATTTAGTGCAATTTTTCTTTTCCCTTTTTTTTTCAAATGGTATACTGTATGTGACGGATTCTGGCTAAATGAGACACATCGGAAAGGTAAAACAGAGCTAAACATCAACATTGACAAGTTTATTTATACAATTTCATAAATAATGAAACCCCTTTTGATTTGTATTAAACAATATCCAAATATATAAAGTAGAGGAAGGATTTACCTTTCTAGTTGATCACCTAAAGTATCGCTAGAATCCTCTTTATTAACATTGTACATATCCTGAACCTCCAAAGGTCTTTCATATCCAATTTTAAATATAGGATTTAACCACCTGTAAAAATACATACACAATAATTAATGAACTATCCCTATCTACATTTAGTTAAACATACATTATGCAAGAGCGAAATCTGTCTATTGCAGGTTTTTCTTTAGGCCTGAAATGTTTTCTAAATTATTAATTAGACATTAATTAACTTATCCAGGCCATAATCAAATCTCGATGGCATCGGATTTCTCTGATATTAAATAGATGAGATCGGTTCAGCCATATTTTGATTTTAGCTAAAAATGGAGGAGTGAGACTTTGCTTCGAACAACCAGTACCGTGGTTGCAATTATTGCACACGTCTTGTCAAACCTTCAAAGGCTAATATCTTCACTCGCAATAGAGTAATTTGAATGAAATTTTCAAATTATTCATTTTACATTATCTAATTTTGAACTATTGTAGCAAGAATGGCTAGCTCTTTATCTAAATCTTACATAATGTATATTTAATTTTATGTATAATGTAGGCCTATTAAAATTTGATATGGAAAAAAAAATGGAATATTTTCTACCTCTATACTGCAATGTTGTATTGAGACAAATGAGATAATCAATTCTTGTTGACATGAGAATATTGCCAGCCAGCAAAGCAACAGTTCTATGATTAAGTCTAGTACATCGATTTTCCCCAGCCAAATTATCTATGTACTTTATATTGTGAAATTTGGCTCGATGTTTTACCCGAGATATTAGAGACTTGGAATTGGAAGCAGAAAAAAAAATACTAAGCTTTAGTGTTCATGCAAATATTTGAATGGTTCGTTTTTGGATATTAATTAAAACTAATGGAATTTAATCTAATTTTTTCGTCCTGTTTGTAGGCTATGATTGAAATATTTACTATTATCAATTCAATGAAATCAACTGCTCGGTAGTTGATAGGGTTTAATGTCAACTCGACACAAACTGGGTTATTTCGGGACTAACATATGGTTCAATTTTACCTCAATTATTCGTTTTGTAGAGGTCTTTAGCAGTGGGGGGAAACCGGAGGACCCGGAGAAAACCCACGAGGTTGGACAGGCAACCCTACATGTACTTCTTGTCACGTACAACTGGGGATTCGAAAACCACGCCAGTTGACTCAATGACAGACCTTATGATACAGCGCGCACATGCTAACCATTCGGCCATCCAACTCCCCCATTTGAATAATGACTTGCAATATCTAAATATTTATCTAACTAAGCATTCAGTGACCACTAGTAAATCTAAATACTGTACAATGTTTGATTCATTATGCAACAGCCATGTTAACTTATAGAACCTTTCATTTAAATTCTCAATAATAGACTTTTTAATGGTCAAGTGCATCTTAGAATTTACCTAGGGATGTATATAAAATTACCTAATATGATTATAAATTATTAAATTCTACACCCGTAGTACATGGAACGGTACATGATAATAAGATACCAAGCGTTGATTGGCAGAGAAATGAGTGCGATCTATTGTACATGTTATGCATAGTCATCGGAAAATTCCATATTCACTGTAGTTGTTCTTTATGTATAAAAATGGTTACTATTATTATATATAGCTAATAATGAATATATCAACAAATGACTGGCACCATATGTATTTCTGTACTTAAGTTTGGGATATCAAGTATTACGGGGTTATCCAAATTACCGGTAAATGCGCTAATTTCTTGAGTCATCTTCATTTGACACGTGGCCTATTTAAACAAAGGCAGCTTAAATTGATCTACGGCATGATACAGCATTTTAAATTCACTCTAAAATATTCCAATCACAAATGTCTAATCAATCTATACCAATGAAAGACGATAATTCGGTGATTATGATTAGGCCAGTCACGTGGTAATTGGACCGTCAATAGACGCTTGTCCAGTTGCCGTGTGTATTGATAGTGCTACATTGTACAGACGGTGAGATATTGTATAGATAATGCATATCCTATGTGTAGTGCCTGTGACGTCACCAGCCAATCAACCGGATTAAGGTCGTAATTGAAAAATCGAAAAGCATTCTGGTGTGTCGGATACTTAAACGTTAACAGCGGACTTAATTTTAATCAGATTGGTGTGAACTTGCCGTAAAGTTGATATAGTAACCATGGGCTATACATACATGCAATTTAGATTTTTGATCTTACGTGGTCTTTAAGTTTAAAAGCAAAGAAACAGAAATCAATTCATAATATTTTAATTAATCTTGCTATTCTATTTTTTCTTTTGCAACCCATACATAGATAGACTACTAACTGATGATTGGGGTGTAAATGTATGAACACATCGTTGTTGTTGACTTCGGAGTTCGAACGCGCTCATGTGAATCCTAAAAAAACATGTTGAGTTTTCGTTAAAAACAAACCTACTAAAACACTCTTTAATTTTTACTTCTGCACAATTAATCATCGTTTTGGACAGTATTATACCTGAACTTTATTTTCATAATTTTAAAATGCTTCATACATGCGGGAATTTGGAGTATTAAGCAAAACCAAAACGCTTACAAAAACTACGAAAATATTGAAATCGATCATTTTACAATTTTCAACTGCTGCATTTGGAAATTTCAAACTTCTAAACTGGAGAAATTCGTCACTACCGGATAGGAATACTTATCGGGTTGAAAAATTACCATGTAACTATAAGAATACCGTAAATTCTAAAGAGGAGTTCGAGAAATTAATCTGTATAAAATCCTGCAATGTCAAAAATCACATCGCTTGATTTGCCATTGACATTGAGATCTCACTGTGTCTCGCGCGAGAGGCAGAGAAACCAACCAACGAGACTCGTTGCCTGTCCATCTATATACGGTCCATGGTATACCTACACATGTAATGTAAATGAAATGGGGTTTAACATCCTACTGTTCTGGTCCTAACCTGGGCTAATGAAGACGGGCATACGGCATACAGTGTGCTATGAGGGAAATTTTGACCGGACAGTGTCGCTACGGCCTACTCTTATATCGAATTCCAACTGCAAAGGATCTTTTACGTGCACACCAAACCTCGGTTTTTTGTCCTATCCGAGCGACTAGACAGCTGTCCTTGTCAGGCCCTCCATCTTGCATCACTGACAAAGGGAAACCACGCCGGAAAATCTGAATTAACTTTCTCGGCCAATGCAGGGATCGAACACCTGACCTGAAGACTAGCGAGCCAGCGTTTTACCCACTTAGCCAGGTGATCCCCCATGTAATGTAAACTATCATAAATTATAAATAGACATGTACATGTAGCATTAAAATAAAGGATAGCTCTATATTGGTAGGCTCAGCTAACTGACATTGGCTCAATTGCAGCAGTTTTTTCTAGGCTATATGATTTATAATATAAGATTAGTATATTTAAGCCAAGTAACTGTGGTTACCAGCTCACTGCTAGTGCTAATAAAATGGGATTATATTTTGTTATGATGTCCCGTATAATGTAAGTTGTAACGTAACTGAACAATAGCCTGTCTCTATATATAGCCAAACCTCGTGTTTTGCGGTATTCATGTTTGTGGTCATAACTAAGCTAATTAAATCTACTAGTACCATATACCTACTCATGTAATATAATAAAATCTAGAAATTCAAATAGTATGTCAGGGTAAGAGCAAACGAAATCATCATACCAGAAAAATATTCTTGAAAAAATATTTGCATTCAACACAGGGTTTGGATTAACGTGTCGCCTGCTTTCGTCCATCTTTATTCACTATTACTGTTGCTTGTGTAATCCGGAACATGTGAGGCCTGTAAAAATGGGTGCGTTTATTTACAGTTGTGGTTATCTGCTATCTACGATCCATTCTTCGCCCATTGCCTGTTGTTTTTAGATCATCCAGTATTTTAGAGGAAGTTAACAACAATCGATTAACCAGTGGTTTTTGAACCAATGGGATAGGGTGCACCTAAAATGGATGTGAACCTGCGGGACCGGACATTGGGCTGCTAATAGCCTATTAATAATTAATAATAGCCTACAATAATAATCAGTTTAATTCGATGGGGTAAAAAATTAGGCACGAATGTCTAAATAAAAGAAGAACATAAATATAGCTTATATTTAGAAAGGTGATCATAGGCCTAATAGGCCTATATTCCTGTTTTTTATACTGTCCTTTTAAAAACACGTACCAATCCTACCCCACAGAAAACCAGAACCAAAATTGATCACTAAACGATGATTATATATATTCGGCTTATAAATAAAATATCTTTAACGTCCAGTGTAATAAATGTGAATATTATTTACTCTCAGATGCGAAAGAGAGAGAGAGAGTAGAGAGAGAGGGGGGGGGAGAGAGAGAGATGGGGTTTAACGTCCACTCGACACAAACTAAGTCATTTCGGGACTAACATATTTCAATAATTCGCTTGCGGATAGGGCCTCTCTCAGATAAGATAGATAGGCTAGGCAACCCCACAAAAATCTCAGTTGCGGAAAAAGCGACGTGGGCATGGCCGGACCGAGGACGCCATCGGCTAGTGGCAGTGACGGGGTCCTCCGCCGAGACCCTCCATCGATGCGGCTCCTTCACAGTAGTGGTTGGTTGGAGGGGTAAAGCTGAGGCAAAGTCTAAGGTTAAGGGGGCAAAGGCACGAGCTTCCACTAGAGCCAGACGTTTTTTAAAAACTGGCTGCTGGAAATACAGCCTGGCAGTATTTCTGATTTCAGGCACTGATCATTGAGATAAAGTGTCAAACGAACGGACTTGCGAACCTCGACGAAACCCACTCATGAGCGCCAAAGTGGGGAGTCCTTTCGGAGGGTATGGCGGACCCCCCGCAGAAAATTTTGAAAAATAGACTGTCGGAAATGCTGCCTGGCAGTATTCAGTCAAGCACCGATTTTCGGGATAAATAGAGCAGTGTACCGTACATCTTCAGGCATTACAAGAACACCCTGACAGACATTTTTAGTGGTAGGGTACCCATGACAGAGCTATGTAATTGCCAGACATTTGTAGTGGTGAAGTATCCCTGACAAGAGTTATCTAATTTTCAGACAGCAGCTAGGCTAGATTAGCTGAAATCTGTTCCACCTAAAACTGCGTTGAAGTTGTTCAGTACCACCACAGAAATCATGCATGACCACTGCCAGACAGTTTGTGCGGTGGGTTACCCCTAACAGACACGCTCAAAATGCCACGACCTCCAAACTAGAATAGATTAGCGGGCACCTAATCAACTTAAGAACGGGGTTTGATCGGTGGCGGCGCCGGGGGGGAGGCATTCATTAATCTGGTCTGCCCTCTGTTTGCCCCCCCCCCCCAATAATTTTAGAAAATAAAAAAAAAGAATGTGTGATACATTCTACGGTGAATAAATCCCTCATCCCCACTCAGTCATAAACTTGCATGTTGTAGAGCATTTCCGACAGTCTATTTTTCAAAATTTTCTTGGCGAGGTCCCCAATGGACTCGCTACTTTGGCGCTCATAAGGGGAATTCGTTGAGGTTCGCAAGTCCGTTCGTTTGACATTAATGTTCTCTAGTCGGATAAACTAGTGATCCGGCGACGAACGGTATCTGGGCAGATCTATTTATCTCGACGATCGGTGCCTGACAGAATACTGTCAGACAGCATTTCCGGCAGTAGGACTCTCTACTTTGACGCTCGTGAGTGGGCTTCGTCGTGATTCGCAAGTCCGTTCGTTTGATACTTTACCTCATCGATCAGTGCCTGAAATACTGCCAGGCTGCATTTCTGGCAACCTGTTTTTCAAAATTTTCTGGGGGAGGCCCTCTACCCATAGTTGAAGCTCGTGCCTTTGCCCCCTTAACCTTTGACTTTGCCCCAGCTTTGCCCCTCCAATCACCGACGACTGGCGCCGCCACTGGGTTTGATACATGGAGACTCCAGAAGAGAGATATTGTTGTATTGTCATAAAATGGGCACTATAACAACAGAATTGTATTTTCTACAGATTACAGTTTATATATATTCTCTCATAAGAGAGAAATGATTAGTGTACTGTAACTACAATGATAGTTGTCGACCGTTATTTAAGGTTGACTTTGGAAAAAAATGAAATGAAATGGAGTTTAACGTCCAACTGTTCTGCTCCTAACCTGGGCTAATGAAGACGGGCATACGCCATACAGTGTGCTATGAGGGAAATTTTGCCCGGACAGCGGCACTACGGCCTACTCTTATATCGAATTCCAACTGCCAAGGGATCTTTTACGTGCACGCCAATGTGTACACGGGACCTCGGTTTTTCGTCCCATCCGAACGACTAGACAGCTTTCCTTGTCAGGCCCTCCGTCCTGCATCACTGACAAGGGGAAACCACGCCGGAAAATCTGGATGAACTTTCTCGGCCAATGCAGGGATCGAAGGTTGACTTTGGTTGACCCCAAAAAGACAGCAAGACATTGTATAACATGAGCACGTAATCTTCTATCGATAACTAGTTGGTCTGTATATTAAATCCACTTTAGTACTTATTTGGGTTTGGCAATAAAGCTCTTCAAGGACTGACACATTGTTTTCATCCATGTCACATAGAAGCTCTTATGAAGAAGTCCTATACAAAAAATGTAAACTGTTTCAATGGCATTTAGTAATTGAACTAGAGTATACAGGTCACAATTCTATGGAATACAATTACTGCTTTTTACTGAGCGACGTTTCGACTAGGTTTCTCTAGTCACTATCAAGCTATGATAAAAAATGAAAATATGACAGGACAATATATACATGTACACAACAATGCTAAGTTAATGCTGACAAACCAGGGATGTAACTTAATTACGTGTACCTAATGGTAATCTGATTTAATTGTACGCTAATAAGTAATAATACCAATTAACCTAAAACATTGACTAATTGATTAATGGATAAGTTGTTGTGGAGTATACACAATGATTAGTGGGTTTTAATAATACAAACGTTGCAAGAAAATGAAAATTGATGAAATGTTATCAACGACCCCTTTCGCTGAAATAAATACAAATGATAAAAGAATAGATTGTTGTGGAGTATTTACAACGATTTGATGAGGTTTTGATAATGACAACATCCCACGAAGATGAGATTTGATTGGTGTTATGACCAAAATAATTGATATGTGGATGTTGATGCGAGTGATTACACTGATATACGAAAAACCCTTAGAACAATGACTGCACAAATGATGTAGATTATTGTAGAATTTTGCGTAGAATATCTATCGCGTATTTCGCCGTGAATTTTTGAAAATTTTATGATGGAATCTAAGGTCTAGAATAGAATTTATATGGTGTTGGCAGTAATTTGAATGACAAAAACGTTTGTCCTATTTAATCATAATCTTAATTACAATTTGTACATAATGTATACTTATATTTACTAGAATTAGAACGCTCATAGACTGAAATTACTTAGTAAGCAATACATTCTATAAGTTAAGTCCTTGTCACTCATCAACATCGTAAAACACATCTTCTTAGACAAGCCAATGGACATACATCTTCGTATACATCATAATACAAATATTGAAACAGATCTTTCATTTAAAGCAACGGATGTCAAAATTATATGGTCTGCGATAATAGAGATACTTTATATAATAACATTATTCTCATAATTAAGAATTACTTCAAGCAAAAGATACATCTAAAACGTACATTGTTCTTATCTGAAAAATGCCGAGTTTTTCGCCAACACATACCATATATTATCTATCTGGATATACACAGAAAACTGGTAAGTGTGATTACCTATATATGCACAAATTGAAAACATTTTTATCAAAGATTATTTCTTTCAGACACCGGTATATTCTATGCACAAGAACCCATTGCATATCTATCGATAAATATTATTTTGTAACTGTTATAAACGATAATACAAAGTTTAGAGTGATTATAGAGCTTGAAGTTCATAACTTAAATTTGTTCAGGATCCCTGGGGCGTCCCGGTGTTCAAACTGTATTTTTGAGTGTTTAAAGCAACTGTACACATTAACTCGTGAGAAGTTTTAAAGATACATTGTCCCGAAAGTATTTATCGGGTGGTTATTTCGAATAAAAGTATGGCAAATTTGGTATATGGAAAGTATAGACACCCAATCTTACTGGAAAAATACTAGATTAACCGAAAAACACCCATGGGGCAAGCACTGCGCAAAAATGGCAGGGTATCATTAACTGGCAGCTTATTGAGTGCTAGCTTGACTGGGTGGGGGGGTGGGGTGTTTTTTCTTGATCAAATGGTTGGGCGGTTTTGGGGACAATGAGGAAGACTCTACAATTAAACGGCGTAAAAAGTAATTGAAAATAATTAAGAATTTACTTAGTTCTCAATATGTATGATAAATGGACAGTAAGTAACGAAAAAATACATTCTGAAAAATATAATATAATCAAAGCACACAGTTTGTACGCGGGAAAGTATCTTTAAGTAACTTAGAAAATTTTTTTAAGTCGTAGTTGCCATGGGGAATAAGCGGTTGCCACAATCTTTGTTACACATTTTGTGTAAAATGCAGGGACCATAACCGAAGATGTTTCTATGCGCATCAAAATAGAAACCATCGAATCATTTAATTCTGAACATATAATCTTCAAAAAAAGTAGGGAATATTGAAATGCAGGTTGTGATATGATAAATAGTCATGAACACTTTACATGCTTTGAGAGTATGTTCACAGATGAAGAACTTATCGCCATAACAGAACCACTGAGTTGCACATGCGACACGCAATAGCGCCATACACGTGGGAGGGGTTCATTGTCAAATTTGACACTTCAAGGAAGGGTTGATGAAAACTGCCGCGTGCTGGTTTATCCTATCCATGTTTGCTTTCCTATCGGTTCTTGCATAAGATTTAC